AGGTGAGTTAATCTGTGAATGAGAGAAACAGTTGTGGAGGGGACCAAGAGGAATGGTGAATGATTTACACAGGGGGAACTAAATCTGACTACAATTTGGACTTTAAATCTCGTCATCAATGATGACTATCATTGATTGAGAAGCCAAACATAAATGCAGGGAAAACAGAATACAAGAAATAAGTAAGAAAAACTAAACCTTCAAGAAATCATGATATTATACAGTCGTTCTAAAATTGTCCATTCACTTTTAACAGTTTTTAGGAGAATATAACAGATAGTCCGAGGTTATTTGGATGATTGACTTGTGTGTGTTGATGTTCATATAGATGTGGCCTTCATTCAGTTCAGTTTATTTATATAGCGCTTTCTATATAGGACCTTCTACAGAGATAATTCAATCAAATCAAGAAGACAAAGAAGTTCAGTTTTCTATCAATGGTAGCAGCTAGTCATGCTTTGTTCGACATTGTTTCAGGTCTTTTACAGAAAAGGTACAAATTTAAACAAGGAGCAACACTTTTACACACTGCCCTCAGTTGAGTGGTTGATGGCAACAGCCTTTTCACGGTGGTGGAAACAGAGAAAGTATCAGAGTATGACACGACTTTTTGAAACTTCAAGGAAAAAACTAGATCAGATTTTACTTCAGATTTTACTTTCAAATTTCACAACAAACTCTTTCTCCTGCAATGTGTTTGCATTCTTAGTTTTCTGGTAACACCCATGGCTCACCCAAAGTGGATTGTTTTTGGTTTCTGAGTAAGCCTTATCGAACACCCTCCTCACACACAACCTTATGGCTCATAAACATGTTTTCACTCCTAGTGAGGCTTACGTTTTTAAATGTGCTACATAAAAGAAAGAATTCTTCTTATATTGTTTAGACTAAGGACATAATAAATTACTTACAGTAGTGTGAGGTATTTGCACAAACCAGCCAGAAAACCACAGAAAATTTTCAAATAAGGTCTTGATTTACTTCAAAAAAAGTGTTCAAAAAATGATAAAGTGGGCCCAAAAACATAGGTCAACAAAACAGACTTCATTTCAGGTTCTAACATAGAGAACTCAAGCACAAACTGACCCATCAAACAAGACATGAGGGAAACTTAAATAGTGGCTGATTTAAGTTTCCCTCCCTGTTGACACACAAGGGAAATAATTAACTGACAAACTTAAAAAACAGATAAATACTGGCCAGACACTAAGTACATTTTACAAATTAACAAAACCATCTGAAACACAGAATATCTAAACAAATGATAAACAAATTTCCCTTCCATTTACGACAAATGGTATGACCCTCTGATTAGCCTAAAAGACCAATTGTAAAGAAAGCTGGAGCTCATTGCAGCCCACCAGCAGCAGATCCAAAGGAAACTGGCAACTCAAACAAAAAGGAATGAATCCATTGCATTTTAACCAAAATATAACAAACTGAAAAATAAAGTTAACTAAATGTCTGCACTGCAAATGGCTAACTTAAAGTCAGGCTAATTCAGAGTTGAATAACCTCCGGTTACACACAAATCAACACAAATGTATTTGGAGACCACCGCTTTNGGTGAGTTAATCTGTGAATCAGCGAAACAGCTGTGGAGGGGACCAAGATGAATGGTGAATAATTTACACAGGGGGAACTAAATCTGACTACAAATTGGTCTTTAAATTTTTTGATCAATGATGACTATCATTGATCGAGATGTCAAACATAAATGCAGGGAAAACAGAATACA